GATTTGCATTTTAATTAGGGAAATAAGTATTTGACCCCTCTGCAAAACATGACTTAGTACTTGGTGGCAAAACCCTTGTTGGCAATCACAGAGGTCAGACGTTTCTTGTAGTTGGCCACCAGGTTTGCACTTTGTCCCACTCCTCTTTGCAGATCTTCTCCAAGTCATTAAGGTTTCGAGGCTGACGTTTGGCAACTCGAACCTTCAGCTCCCTCCCCAGATTTTCTATGGGATTAAGGTCTGGAGACTGGCTAGGCCACTCCAGGACCTTAATGTACTTCTTCTTGAGCCACTCCTATGTTGCCTTGGCCATGTGTTTTAGGTCATTGTCAAGCTGGAATACCCATTTTCAATGCCCTGGCTGAGGGAAGGAGGTTCTCACCCAAGATTTGACGGTACATGGCCCCGTCCATCGTCCCTTTGATGCGGTGAAGTTGTCCTGTCCCCTTAGCAGAAAAACACCCCCAAAGCATAATGTTTCCACCTCCATGTTTGACGGTGGGGATGGTGTACTTGGGGTCATAGGCAGCATTCCTCCTCCTCCAAACACGGCGAGTTGAGTTGATGCCAAAGAGCTCGATTTTGATCTCATCTGACCACAACACTTTCACCCAGTTCTCCTCTGAATCATTCAGATGTTCATTGGCAAACTTCAGACGGGCCTGTATATGTGCTTTCTTGAGCAGGGGGATCTTGCGTGCGCTGTAGGATTACAGTCCTTCAAGGCGTAGTGTGTTACCAATTGTTTTCTTGGTGACTATGGTCCCAGCTGCCTTGAGATCATTGACAAGATCCTCCCGTGTAGTTCTGGGCTGATTCCTCACTGTTCTCATGATCATTGCAACTCCACAAGGTGAGATCTTGCATGGAGCCCCAGGCCGAGGGAGATTGACAGTTATTTTGTGTTTCTTCCGTTTGCGAATAATCGCACCAACTGTTGTCACCTTCTCACCAAGCTGCTTGGCGATGGTCTTGTAGGTCTACAATCTTGTCCCTGACATCCTTGGAGAGCTCTTTGGTCTTGGCCATGGTGGAGAGTTTGAAATCTGATTGATTGATTGCTTCTGTGGACAGGTGTCTTTTATACTGGTAACAAACTGAGATTAGGGGCACTCCCTTTAAGAGTGTGCTCCTAATCTCAGCTCATTACCTGTATAAAAGACACCTGGGAGCCATAAATCTTTCTGATTGAGAGGGGGTCAAATACTTATTTCCCACATTAAAATGCAAATCAATTTATAACATTTTTGACATGCGTTTTTCTGGATTTTTTTGTTGTTATTCTGTCTCTCACTGTTCAAATAAACCTACCATTAAAATTATAGACTGACAATATCTTTGTCAGTGGGCAAACCTACAAAATCAGCAGGGGATCAAATACTTTTTTCCCTCACTGTAAGCTTCGTGAGTTGGTGTTGCCATCTCCATAGGGCTCGGCTCGGAGGTGCTGGGGGATGGAATGGACGGCCCCAGCTCCGGACGTCTGCGGGTAGCCAAAAGGGTATCCAGGCGAATCGACATGTCCACCAGCTGATCGAAGCTTAGGTTGGTGTCCCTGCAGGCCAATCATTCCATCCCGAATTGGCAGCCAGAGTCCGGAAGTCCAGTGCGAATTCCTGCGCGCTCCTCCTCCCCTGTCTGAGGTGGAATAGACGCTCACCCGCCGCCTTCGGAAGTTCACAGTAGCGGCATCTATCCCTCCCCACTCGGCGTTGGCCAACTCCAGTGCCTTGCCGGACAGACAGGAGATGAGGGCGGACACGCTATCGTGTGCTGGGTGAATGGTTGCCAGGTAAAGTTCCACCTGGAGCAGGAAACCCTGACACCCGGCTGCGGTGCCATCAGAAGCCCTCGGGAGCGAGAGCCGAATCCCACTGGACTCCGGATGTGAGACGATAGGAGTAGCCGATGGTTGTGGTATCGTTGGAGGAGGTGTGGGCAAACCTCCTCTCTCCCATCGTCCCAAAGTGTTCATCACGTTATCCATGGCGGCACCAAGATTTTGAAGCATCACTGCCTGTTGTAGGACGCGCTCCTCGAGTGATCCGGTCGGTGCCGTCGCTCCTGCTGACTCCATGTTGTGGTGTGTGATTCTGTCACGGCTGTCGGTGAGATGTGGTTGAAGAAGTCAGGCGCAGGACACAGAACTCTCGGACACGTACTTTAATCTGATACTGAACAATAGAACAGAAATAACTCCACGCAGGGAGGAAATAACCCGCTCACTAATGACATACGTGAAGGGAAAACAATCACACACAATATCCCGATGAGAGACAGGGGTAATATAAGGGCAACAATCAAACATAATGACAAACAGGTGTAAACAATACAGACAAAACTAAACAGACACCGATAACATCGAACGGCAGCAGCTAGTACTACGGGGACGACGAACGCCGAAGCCTGCCCGAGCAAGGAGGAGGAGCAACCTCGGCAGAATCCGTGACAGAATGGAAAACACTTCTCCATTCATCATTATGACTTAGGCCTTTTTTTGGTTCAGTGTTGCAAAATATTTCAGAATATTGTTTTTATACTCAGAACACACAAATACACTGTAACAAATATATTTCATTTTTCCCACAAAAACAATGTACACAGTGTACATCCCAACCAACACAAAGTTGCACATACAGTGGTCTACATACAAAACAGAATAATTTAATGTATACAGTTACAGTAAAAAAAACTGCTGCGTCCTCTCTTCTGTTGCGGTCTGGCCACAGCACCTCATCCACATCACAAGCAATGTTTTCCCTGGCCAAGCAGCAGGGGAAATATTGCCTAGCGTGGCGATTCCAGCCATGAAAAGCATCAGCTGCTATATCTCCACATGCGTCTTCCATAGCTTGGAGAAGAGGTATACGCGTTTGTGGATTTCGGTCATACACTTTCCATCTCCAGGCAGAAAAAATGTCCTCAATAGGATTGAGGAATGGAGAATATGGAGGGAGAAAAGCAACTAAAAAGCGTGGGTGGGCAGTGAACCAGTTACGAACCAGAGCAGCCCTGTGGAAACTTACGTTGTCCCAAATGACAACGTACCTGAGCTGCTCTGGGCCATCTACCTGATCTGGTGGAATGAGTGTGTTGTGTAGGGTGTCCAGGAATGTGATCAGATGGGTGGTGTTGTAGGGGCCAAGGGTAGCATGGTGATGGATGACGCCGTGGTGGGTAATCGCTGCACACATTGTGATGTTCCCTCCGTGCTGGCCAGGGACTTGAACAATGGCACGCTGGCCGATGATATTCCTTCCCCTCTTTCGTCTTTTTGTGAGGTTGAATCCAACCTCATCAATGAAGATGAACTGGTGCTCCACTGCAGCCACCTCTAGCTCAAGGACTCTCTGAAACACACATGACAATATCAGAAATCGACATGGAGTGGTCACTATTGTGAAGCACAATCATTAAGATTACAATACTGAAATATGTATAATTTATACAGTGTTGAGAGTATACATCAATTGTGGGATTGTATAGGACTCACTTGCACATAGTTATCGCAATTCTTTGACTCTTTCTGAATTGCGTTCAAATGGCACCCTGTAGACCTGCTTCATCCTGAGATTATTTCTGCGCAAGACACAGTCCAGTGTTGATAAGCTTGCCCTATCAATATTTTGAAATATCTCATTGTTTTCTATTATTTTTCTTTGTATTTGCCGTAATGTTATGGCGTTATTTTCTAGGACCATGTTCATTATTTCAGTTTCCTGTTCAGGAGACAGAACACGTTCCCGACCACCTTGTGTTGGTAATCTTTCAGTTCTGCCAAACAAATAGTAAAATGCTGTAAATACAAACTAGAAATACATTTCCCAAATACTTGAAACATACTTTATTTTTACAGTCCACAGGCAATACTGTACTACTGTACTCATTGAGTACTGTATTGATATGCAGTACTGCAATTTTCTAGTGAGAGTAGATTTCTTATCTATTCTCATTTCGGAATGTCCGGATGATGTATGCTACAGTGTACCTGCTCAAATTTGGCTGTACTCTTTGCCTAGCCTCCCTCATTGTTAGACCATGGTTGACCACATGATCAACCAAAGTGGCTCGGATCTCATCAGAGATTACGGTCCTTGGCCTTCCTCGTCCTCGTCCTCCCCATCCTCCTCCTCTTACTCTCACTCCTCTGGCTCTGATTTAAGGGTTTTTATAAAAAATTTACAAAAACCATACATCATAAATCATTTCATTTCCATACAATATTTGCATCACGCCACACCATACTCACTCCAGTATCCTCTCACCCTCCTCTTTCCACCACCCCATCACTATTAACCAACCAACCAACAACCCCATCATAAAAATAAAACACTATGCCATTTAGCAGACGCTGTACTTACCGTCATGCTTGCATACATTTTACATGTGGGCGGCCCCAGGGACCGAACCCACTACCATGGCGTTACAAACGCCATGCTCTACCCACTGAGCCACATAGGACTACGAAAAATAAGAAAAAATTCACATCATGTATACCGACCCAACCATATCCCAACAATAATAATCAAAATACTATGCCATTTAGCAGACGCTTTACTTACCGTCATGCGTGCTTACATTTTACGTGGGCGGCCTCGGGGTCCGAACCCACTGCCATGGCGTTACAAACGCCATGCTCTACCCACTGAGCAACATAGGACTACGTAAAAACAAACAAAAATCACATCATATATACTGACCCAACCATAACCCAACAATAATAATCAAAATACTATGCTATTTAGCAGACGCTTTCCCGTCATGCGTGCTTACATTTTACGTGGGCGGCCCCGGGGACCGAACCCGCTTCCATGGTGTTACAAGCGCCACGCTCTACCCACTGAGCCACATTGGACTACAAAAACAACAAAAAATTCACATCTTATATACCACCACAAACTATAACACTAAATACACCTCAGGGGAGCACCTTCCCTCCCCTTTTTCCCAGCCACAAAAACACACCCTCACACCTTCCTCCCTACCCCTCTATACTAAACCTAAACACCCCCCTCTACAATAATCCTAAACCCCCTTTCCACCTCTCCCGAGCAGCATGCTGCCCCCACTTCTTCTCCTCTCCCTTCATCCTCCCCCTCAAATTTCTCTCCACCCTCCTCACTATCCCCTCCACACCCCCTTCTCCCCCTGTCCTTTCCTATTTCTGCCTAGCCTCCCACAAACCCTGTTTAAAGAGGCTTATGAGAAGCCAGAGCAGAAACCTGTCCCTAACCGTCCCCCTCGCTCTCCCTACCCCTCTCTCTACCCTAGCCCTCTCTCTACCCTAGCCCATGTAACCACAAAATCCCCTCTCACCCTGCCTATCAGACCCTGTGCCCTAGCCCACACTACCCCGGCGAAAGCACAGTCCCAAAAAACATGGCGCACCGTCTCCTCCCCGCCATAAGTTGGCCTTGGGCAGGTGGGGGATCGAGTCAAGCCACGCCCGTACAAGATGGAACGTACGGGCAAGCCCTTATGGAGGCTCAACCAATTCAGGTTTTTGAGCCTGTTATCCAGACCTCGCACCTGCACTCCTTCCCAAACCACAGCCGGGATACCCAATACCGGCCCGGGACACCCTCCCCGTCTCACCTCCTCGTACAGGTGCCTGTGATCTAAACCTACTCGGGCTACTTCAACCTCGGGGTGACCACGCAGCCACTTGGCCGCATAGCCAAAGTGTGACGGCAGCTGTTCCGCCCGAGGACCTGTGTTAGTCCACACCATTACGCTTCTCGCCTGGTAAGAGAAGAACACCCGCAGGAGGTAACCAGACGGGTGTATTACCGGATGAGCCAGCTCAGTCAACAAATATGAAACAAAAATTGAATCCTGCTTGAGGGTAAAATGTGGTACCCCCCTACCTCCCTCCCCGATGGGACAGAGCATGCGTACCCTCGCGACATACTCTTGCTTGCAACCCCACATGAACTGGAACACCAGCCTCACTAGAGGCACTCTCAGACTCTCTGGCAATGGGTAGACGTACGCCATATACAATAGTGATGGCAACACATCCACCTTGAGGACCAGGACCTTGCCCTCCACATCCCCACCTTCCTCTGCACCACTGCGATGCGCCTGTTCCAGTTCAGCGTCGCTGAGCCAGAGGTCTCAAAAAGGACCCAGAGAATCTTCAGGGCCCCACTACAGAGAGATAACCCCCCAGGCACATCTGTCCTCCCACGCCATCTTCCGAAATACTTAACGGATGACTTAGCGTGATTGAGGACCGCTCCCGACGCTCGGGTGAATTCCCCTATGATGGCAAGGGACCTAGTCAGGCACGAGTCCTTGCATAGCAACAAGGAAGTGTCGTCTGCGTACTGGGTCATCTTAACATGCAGCCCACCGCTTCCAGGGATAAGCATGCCCTCCACCCCTGTGTCTGCCCTAATGGCAGCCCCCAGAGGCTCCATGTACAGAACGAAGAGGAGTGCCGAGAGCGGGCACCCCTGCCTGACCCCAGACTCAAGATAAAAAATGTCACCCATGTGACCGTTTACGTTCACCCGGCACCCTGCTCCGACATATAAAGCACGGATCCACCCTATATACTTCTCCCCGAAACCTAACCTGCCTAACACCCTGAAAATAAATCTATTCACTCGATCAAAGGCTTTAGCCTGGTCGAGTGCTGCTACCATTAGCGACAGCCCTCTATCCTCTGCCCAAGCAATGGAGTCCCTGATCAAACTCAGGTTCCACCTAATAGAGAGTCCCTCTATCCCACACGTCTGATCCTCATGGACGACGTAGGGAAGGGCTGTGCGCAACCGGTCCGCTAGAACCTTCGCAAGTAGCTTGTAGTCTACGCACAGCATGGTCAACGGCCGCCAGTTGCCGAGATCTGTGGGGTCCCCCTTCTTGTACAGAAGTGACAGCACACATACGGCCATCAATCCCCCCGGTACACCTGTATCGAGGATGGCCTTCAAGACTTCGAGGACTACAGCCCATCCATCCCGGGCACCTTCCCTTTTCCCATCCTCCTGAGGGCGCTCTCAACCTCCATTGCTTTTCTAATGTCCTCCGGCACTTGCTGGGACAGGTGTTCTAAAAACACATTCCCCTGCTCTACATCTACTGCCCTCTCTTGAAAGAAACCTTGGAAATGCTCTGTGGTCACCTTGACCATTTCCTCCGTATCTCTCACTACTCTACCGCTTTCTTCCCTAACCCCATACATTACCTTCCTACTCTGCCTTTCCCTCACTGATTTAAAGAACACGGGCCGAACATGTTTCGTCGTGTTCTATAAAACCACTACGCGCCCGCATCAAGAAAGCGCGAGCCTTCCGCTCATGCACCTCCCTTAGCTGCGCCTTTAGGGCAGCGGATCTCTCCCAGTCTGCCGACCTGCCGAGGTTGCCTGCCTCAAGCTCGAGTTCTAGCAGCCTCTGGATATGATCCACCTCCATCCTTTCCTCCCTCTTTTTCTTCTTCCACTGTCCTATTATAAAAACCCTCATCCTCACCTTCACTATTTCCCACCACTCTAACACCCCCTCACACATGGACCGGATGCCTTCAAGCCCCCTAAAAAAATCTACAAAAGCCTGCCCATCCAGCACCTCCCGTTCTAACTTCCAGTACCCCCTACCGAAGAGGCAGACTGGTGCCCCCACCTGCAGGAGCACCCCGTCGTGGTCCGAAAAGAACACAGGCAACAAGCGCCCAGACAACTGACCCAGAGACCTAGATAGGAAAATATAGTCGAGCCTCCGCTCAACCCCCCTAGAACAGTGTACAGGCCCCCATTCACCAGACCATGGCTTGCCATTAGTCCGGCGACGGCTCCTGCACTACTATCCCTCCCCCTCCCTATATCTACATTGAAATCCCCCCCTATCACCAAGTGTCTATTTGTAGCACACAGCGGCTCCAGGCAGTCCACCATCTCCCTCCTGCCCGTTGCCAGCTGTGGCCCGTACACCACAATAACCCTATAGCTACTCTCCCTTATCGTGACATCCGCTCCCAGTACCCTACCCTGCATTCCCACAAAAGTGCCCTCCACCTTCACCTCCCTATTCCCACACAGAATCCCCACCCCCGATGAATGAACCCCCCCTATGCCCCACACCGACTCTCCCTTGTCCCACTCCCTCCTAAACCTTAAAACATCCCCACTATCCCTTAGGTGAACCTCCTGTATAAAACAAACAAACCCACCCCCTCTAAATACCCGAAAACCGCCCTTCTCTTAACACCCTCCCTTATTCCCCTCACATTTACCATAACAAAAATTACCCCTGCCATAATACATTTTACACATCACACAATACTATTCCCCAAAACTCAAAAACCAAAACAGGAGGCTCACCTGATGCTCCCCTGCACCATCTCCTCCAGCGGTGCCTCCGACCCCCCTTCAGGTGTCCCCCCACTCTCCTCCATCTCCCCAGCCCAGGATGCCGGAATGGTGTTCGGCTCCCGGGTTCCCTGATCCCTGGGCTCACCACCATCCTCCACCATCCCATCAACCCAGAAAACGGTTGGAAAGAGCACCGGGGATCCAGCGTCCTCTGCCCCCCCCTGCCACCCCCCATTGGGTGCCCCCGGCAGTTGTGCATTGGGAGGGGTCAGCGCTGTGGGAGCTTCTTCCCCTTCTCTCCCATTACTCGCTTCGCCTCCCCCTCTTCCCCCCGCCCATCTCCCTATCCCCAGACCTCCCCCTCCTCTTCCCTCTCTTCTTCGTCAAAACCGGCAGCGGGGAAACCATAACCCCCTAACCCCCAGCTCCTCCCTCATCTCCCTCAGCTCCTCCTCCCCTTCTCTCGCTCTCCCTATTCCCCCCCTCCGGCATCGCCCCTCTCCCCTTCTCCTCTCCTTCCAGGGCTGTGGCCGGCACCTCTCCGACCTCCTCCTGCTCCTCCGCCTCTGGCACCTCCTCTCCCCTCTGTCTCTGTCGCCGTTCCCGCCTCTCCTTCCTGTCCTATTCCTGCCGTCCTCTGCCCGTCCTCCTCTCTTCCCGCTGCTTTTCCCGGCGCCGCCTCTGTTGCAGCCGGACTTCCCTCTGGCCCTTGGCTCGGGTCTGGAACTCCCTCTCCACTTCATCCCCCATCCCCCTCTCCTGCACCTGCTCCCCCCCCTGCAGCCGCTGCATACGACTTGTGGCGAGCCGTGCAGTCCCTCCACAGATGTGCTGATGATCCACACCCGTGGCATTTCTTTTGCTCACCACAGTCTTTCGCCTTGTGCGCCCCTGACCCACACACCCTGCACTTCCTCCCTCCACATGAGGCGAAATTATGTCCATATGTCATGCAGCGTCTGCAGAACGGAGGCTGACGGGCATAAAATAATGTCCCCCTATCAGCCCCCAGGGAAAACAGTGCTGGAGGATGAAGGTACCCCCCCAGGCCCCCTGGGTCTTCCTTCAATAAGGCCTGGAAACTCCTCCTCCCGTTCCAGAACCCGAGCGTGTCCTTGAGGAGCCTTGCTGAGGAGACATTGTCCATGTACCTCCCCAGAAAGGCCCTCACCTCCTCTTCCTTCACATGCGGGTTAAACATGTTAACCGTCACCACTCTGAAACTGTTCCTTGCCAGGCTCGCCACTTCATAGTGGCACATGGGTCTAGCCTTCTCGACCACCTTCACCCTTCCCATGACCTTGTCATGCTTCCCCTCCGTGTGTAGCACGACATCATATGCCCCTTCCAGGGGATTCGCCTGGAGGCACAACACGTCCTTTACCTCCAGCTTCAGGACCCCCATAAGTATGGTCCTCCCGAACGTCTCCCTTCCAAAGGGCTCCATCTCCTTCTCCCTCCATGCGAACCTTATCACATTAGCAATCCCCATCCTGGGAATCGCCCTGTAGTTCTTTGAATCCGCCATCTTGCTCTTGTTGCCTTATTAGGATGCCGGTGGGCGGAGTTGGGAGGGTCGTCAGCTACATGGGAAACACCTGGGCTTGGGTGTGTTCCAGGATAAATGGACCTCTTCCACATTCATTGAGGAGACTCTCTCCATGCAGACACCTTGATAGATTTTTGTTGTGGTATTTTTGTGGCTTTTTTGTTGTTTGCTTTGGCACCTTTCAACACCTTGCATTATTACATTTATGCATGCATAACACTCACTTACACTACTGATTACTGATTACACACACCATTGTTAATTATACTTAGTTTACTTTAGTTAATAAATATATATTGGTATTCCTTGTCTCCACGTTGTCTCCCTTTTGTTTACAAACTTTGAGTCGGTTCGTGACACTATGTAAATAATTAATTAAATATGCATTATCATTATTATCTCTCCCCCGATCACACATTTTAAGAATCAAGCCAGTGGTAGATTTACTAGGAGAGTTAAAATACAGGACATAACAACTTTACTGTAGCCCTACGGATGAATAGAACTGCCTTAGTGATAGTGGAGAGACTGCAGGGGGGGAAACGAAGGTGAGTATAAAGTGTGTAAGAGAAAGGGAGAGAGAGAAATGTACTAACACCAGTTACAACAGTCATCGATTTTTAATAGATTAAAATAGATTAAATAATTCCATCCCAAATACTTTACCTATGTGCAATCTATATACCACCAACCGAATCCCCTTATTTCAAATAGGCTTGCTTTTATAAAACAATCCATTCACTTCTTGTCAATGGATTCTGTCCTGATATGTGGGGATTTAAAAGCCAGAACGGGGAAAGAAATTGATTACGTTGACATTCAATGGAATGCGCACATTTGGAAATACCCAACTATACCCTACATTAAATACAACTAACAGAAACAATAGTAACAGTGCAGTTAACAAGTGGGAAACGGGTGGTGCACCGCTGTAAAAGCTTGGGTTTCTACATTGTGAACGGCAGTAGATTCTCTCAGGAGATTTCCATGCTGCTCAGCTTTAGGATGTAGTGTGCTGGACTACGCCATCACAGACATACAGTTGAAGTCGGAAGTTTACATACACCTTAGCCAAATACATTTAAACTCAGTTTTTCATCATTCCTGACATTTAATCCTAGTAAAAATTCGCTGTCTTAGGTTAGTTAGGATAACCACTTTATTTTAAGAATGTGAAATGTCAGAATATTAGTAGAGTGATTTATTTTTGCTTTTATTTCTTTCATCACATTCCCAGTGGGTCAGAAGTTTACACTCAATTAGTATTTGGTAGCATTGCCTTTAAATTGTTTAACTTGGGTCACATGTTTCGGGTAGCCTTCCACAAGCTTCCCACAATAAGTTGGGTGAATTTTGGCCCATTCCTCCTGACAGAGCTGGTGTAACTGAGTCAAGTTTGTAGGCCTCCTTGCTCGCACACGCTGTTTAGTTTTGTCCAAAATTGCCACTCCAATACCTTGACTTTGTTGTCCTTAAGCCATTTTGCCACAACTTTGGAAGTATGCTTTGGGTCATTGTCCATTTGGAAGACCCATTTGCGACCAAGCTTTAACTTCCTGACTGATGTCTTGAGATGTTGCTTCAATATATCCACATAATTTTCCTTCTTCATGATGCCATCTATTTTGTGAAGTGCACCAGTCCCTCCTGCAGCAAAGCACCCCCCACAGCATGATGCTGCCACCCCCGTGCTTCAGAGTTGGGATGGTGTTATTCGGCTTGCAAGGACTCCCTTTTTCCTCCAAACATAACGATGGTCATTATGGGCAAACAGTTCTATTTGTTTCATCAGACCAGAGGACATTTCTCCAAAAAGTACGATCTTTGTCCCCATGTGCAGTTGCAAACCGTAGTCTGGCTTTTTTATGGTGGTTTTGGAGCAGTGGCTTCTTCCTTGCTGAGCAGCCTTTCAGGTTATGTCGATATAGATTTACATTTACATCATTTAGCAGACGCTCTTATCCAGCGACTTACAGTTAGTGAGTGTACCGTGGGAATTGAACCCACAACCCTGGCGTTGCAAACGCCATGCTCTACCAACTCAGCTACATCCCTGCCGGCCATTCCCTCCCATATCCTGGACGACGCTGGGCCAAATGTGCCTCGCCCCATGGGTCTCCCGGTCGCGGCTGGCTACGACAGAGCCTGGATTCGAACCAGGATCTCTAGTGGCACAGCTAGCACTGCGATGCAGTGCCTTAGACCAAATACCTTGTACCTGTTTCCTCCAGCATCTTCACAAGGTATTTTGCTGTTGTTCTGGGATTGATTTACACTTTTCGCACCAAAGTACGTTCAACTCTAGGAGACAGAACGTGTCTCCTTCTTGAGTGGTATGATGGCTGCGTGGTCCCATGGTGTTTATACTTGCGTACTATTGTTTGTACAGATGAACGTGGTACCTTCAGGCGTTTGGAAATTGCTCCCAAGGATGAACCAGACTTGTGGAGGTCTACAAAAAATGTTCTGAGGTCTTGGCTGATTTCTTTTTGATTTTCCCATGATGTCAACCAAAGAGGCACTGAGTTTGAAGGTAGGCCTTGAAATACATCTACAGGTACACCTCCAATTGACTCAAATGATGTCAATTAGCCTATCGGAACGTTCTAAAGCCATGACATTTTCTGGAATTTTCCAAGCTGTTTAAAGGCTCAGTCAAGTTAGTGTATGTAAACTTCTGACCCACTGTGGAGTGGTTGAGTGGTTGAAAAACGAGTTTTAATGACTCCAACCTAAGTGTATGTAAACTTCTGACTTCAACTGTACCACCTAAATAAATCAATGCCTTTGTCTGACCACTCCCAAAGGGTGCTATACTGTCAACAGTCTGACAAACCATCAGCAAACCCCCTACCTGTAGATAAACTATATTCACTAATTCCAAACATTAAATGGACAAACCAAAATGGAGGAATTCAAACTGAACATGGATAATCCTAAAATAAACGTAAAACTTCAATTAAACGCAGTCTCTATCAGCCGGCAACGACACACATTTCAGCAAATAAACAGCTGTTTCAAATAAATGCTGGGTCTAAAGGAATTGTTTGAGGTTAACATGAATTATTTATAATGTTTGATTTGTTACATTAAATGATTCAGTAATGACAAATTTATATCATCCGTTTTTAAATAGCCACTAATAAACTGCTAGCAGCTGAGAACTGCTATCTAACTGACATCCACAAAAACAGTCAACTTCGGCAGTACAGAACCCTAGAAATCGACTGATCTCCCTCTAGTGGCTAAAGTAATAACTGACAAATGCACAGTCAAAGAGAATAATAATTGTCAAGGAAAACAATTGTTTAGGGGGGTATAGTAAGACAAAAGAAATGTGAGCGTGTAAATAACAGTGCAGGAAATGAAGCAATTTATTAAAATGATGGAAGTGAATGCTGGAATTAAACAATTAACTAAGCAAATGAGCAAAAGCTGTGTGCATTTAAGGGGAACTGCACCTGCTGATTTGGACTCGTTTTTTTTTGTCTTGTCCCTCAAGAAATGCTGGCGGCCATGACAGAAGTCAAACGCAAGTTGTCTTGAAGGTGTGGTTTGATGTGGATGTTTCTTGTGTGTCCCTGCCACCACCAAGACAAACCCATCTGTCAGAACCTTGCCCACAGCGGTTTGCCCCCACTCAATCACAGCAAACAAACCTCTTGCAGGTTGAGTTCAATAACTACAGCCAGATGTATAGTGAGATGCCGGAGGAAGCTTTTAATAGGTCATTAGCCTACTGAGTAATATGACAAGAATGCAATTGCTGAATTTATGTAGCTACATTTAAAAAATCGAATCCAATTTTGTTTGTCACATGCGTCATAAACAACAAGTGTAGACTAACAGTGAAATGCTTACTTACGGGCCCTTCCCAACAATGCAGAGAGAAAAATAGAAAGATTATTACATAAGGAATAAATACACAATGAGTAACATTAACAAGATATTCTAAAGTAAGTGCTTTGATAACATTCAAATGTAGTAACAGGTCCATGTAAAATAAACAACCTTTACATAATACCATAGAAGCAGTGTTCTGCTAATATTAACAATGTGCACCTTTTCATCTTTCATTCCCAGCCAATACAAATACTGTGCCTATCGGCATTTTGTCTGGTGGTAATTGGGCTACCTTGGCAAACATGTCACTGGTCATACATTACTGTGTGGTGTCCCCTATACAGCAGGAGTTCCCTGATCCTAGGGCTGGGTGGTATACCGTATTTTACTACTTACCGGTATTGCTGCACAGACCAGTTTGGGTTTTTACTTTACCTTCTATATTTGAATGTTTGGTTGTTAAATGTGATATGCTGTGTGTAACGTCCATTTTTATAGTTTGTACTGCTACTTGAGTCATCCCTCTCTGCTCTCTCTCCATGCCACTTTCCACACAGACCTAGCCCCGCCCAATCACTCAAGGAGTGCATTTGTTGCTGCTTGACCGCGAGACACTTGCGTTCAGTCTGCACGGTCAATGCAACAATGTTGATGACGACGATGTTTCCACTTTGCTTCTTAATATAAATTACACTATTAATTTGTGTTTCTTACATCTGCAAACAGCTAGTTTGTCTTTTCTTACCAAGTTTTAGCTAAATCGTGTTAGCCGCTAATGCTTTGCCAATATCGCGCAGCCCTAACGTGGCAGTGTGGAAATGATCTCAAATGAGTGCAGGAAATGCATATTTAAAAAAAAAAATTGTTTTATCCTACTTATTATTTGCCTTCTTTTGAAATGTTATCGTGTTTCCAAGGCAAATCCAAGTTGTATTGAGGTAGGCTAATGTTAGCCAACTAGCTAGCTAGCTATTATTATTATTATTATAACAATATATATATATAACCAGCAATCTGCAGTATGGTCTAGCTACCGGTATACTTACCACCACTGC